CTGTGTTGACCAGTTGATGGAAGTATTTCAGATTGCATGTGAAAACCCCACACTGTACCCCAGAAGTGCATTAATGTACATAGTTACCGTTCAATAAAAAAAAAAAGAAAAAAAAATTAAAAAAAAAAAAAGTGTGCTTCTTTGAGAAGGGTTTTTAAAGTAGCCCTATTGTGAGTACTTTTGTAAAGTGAGGAGGTAGGGAGTCATGACTGCCTGGATCCTAGTGCGTGTCCTGTGGCTGATTGGCTTTTTGATCCTGTCTTATATGAGCTCCCTCTTTGTCTTGCTTTTCTCATTTGAAAGTGTGGGGGGAAAATAATTTATATTCTGTCATAGGAGTGCTGTGTGATGTTATTATTATTATTCTTTTACTAAAGTGATTTATAACCATTTATCTCAGTTTTTCTGTGACGCTAAATTTCCATGTATTGGGCTTGCTTTATATTACATCCACTTAAGGCATATATTCAATTCTGTTTGGGAGAAGTACTGAGATATTGTTGTCTTGTACTATAGCTACACAATCTTTGCAAAATCATTTCTTAACTATTTCAAAAGAATAAAGAGTAGTACATTTAGTTATACAGTTTATGCCATTGTTCCATTAGAGGCTAAATGATAGGCGTGAAGATGCAGTGACATCAGTTGTTAAAGCCTGTACATTATTCATTTAAAATCTGCTGTTCTTTTTTTCCCTGTGGGGGAATAAATTACAACATATCAGTGCATTTTTCATGCTTGTGTTTAAGCATTTAAAAGTCATTTATTGTATTATTAATATTATTTTATTTCTGCTTGTTTGACAGCCCCTGAAGTTATCAATGCCCATGACTATAGCCAGCAGTGTGACATTTGGAGCATAGGTGTCATAATGTACAGTTTGTAAGTAGCCTGCTAAACATACAGTTTAAAAGGAATGGATAATCTCTTATAGTAGAATGATAAATATTTTAAATTAAAACTAAATAATATATTTTTCAAAAAAGTGATTTTAAAACTAGTTGGGAAGTCATTAGAAAAGCTGTTGTATTCGTTGTCAAGTACATCTCTTAGGTTTTTTAATACTGTAAATTTATAACTTTCATCTTACTGTTTATTGATCTATAAATGCAACAATGCATGTGTGATCTGAGCAAAATGATGTCCTTAATACCTTTCTGATCCCTTACTACAAACCAGACTTGTAGTCCATCATGTACAGGGAGTTTCTGCAACCTGGCACTAGAGCTGCCCGTATAGACAGGACATAGGTGGAGAGTGGGCAGTAACCAGGTAGAGGTTCATTTGGAATCTAGGGAGTATTGTGTAGTTCCCAATTATTTTTATGCTACTGAAAACCTCAGTCATTCTTATTCTTCCTTCTCTCTTACTCTCAAGATTCATTGAAACCCCGCGTCCTATTCATTTTAACATCGAAATGTCCTCACCTATTCTTTGATTTCTCTTTGCCTGTGTTATTTCTCCTTAAGATCCCTTTTCTAGAATGTTACAGGGTCTTACTGACTGTTCCCTGCCTCTGGCCCCCGCTCCCCAGTTTGTCCTTTATACCACTGTCAGAGTTTTCCTTCTGAGGTACAAATCTGATCATACTGCTTTCCTGACTAAAAATTTCTGAGAATTATTATTTGCTATAGAAGAATAACAGAGCCTCCTGACATGGCCTTGCCTGATATGGGATGGCAAGTCTTTCATGACCTGACTCCAGCATGCCTTTCCAGTCTCAATCTGGAGGTGTGTTCCTGTGTACCTAGCATATGATTCTAGGCCATTATTATTATTTTTTTAATTAGAGCATAGCTGTGTACATTAATGCAATCATGGGGTACAGTTGTTGTGTTTTCATATACAATTTGAAATATTTTCATCAAACGGGTTAACATAGCCTTCATGTCATCTTCTTAGTTATTGTGTTAAGACGTTCATATTATACTTTTAGAAGAGTCACTTGTACCCTTATAAGGTAAACCATAGAGGTGATCCCACCAATTACCCTCCCTCCACCCATCCACCCCCTTCCCTCCCCTCCCCCCCCCATATTCTTAG